ACGGTGCTCAGGGTACCTCTGTGGGCAAGTTTGGGGTGTCTAATGACATGTACATGCCCTTGGGCCTTTGGCTTGCCATTTATTAGGGCACGCCAATTTCACAGGTCCAGTTTTTAAGATGCCAGGATGTGGTGATATTTTCATTGTGCTGAAATGTGATTTTATTTGTATGTTAATAAATAAAGTTTGCCTGGAGATCAGAGGTCATTAGTGAGCCAGGAATAGAAGTCAGGTGGTAGTAGCCCATGCCCTTAATCTGATCACATGGCAGGCAGAGTCTCTGTGTGGTCAAGGACACCAAGCGTGGTGACACACGCCCTTAATGCCAGTACCAGCCATAGAGACCTGGAGGTCTGTATAGACAGGCAGTGATGAGGAGGTCATGTGGCTGGGCTTAGAGCCAATGAAAAGGCAGAACAGGAAAGCAATAAAACTCAAGACACACAGGAAGAAGGTCTCTCTCTCAGGGGAAGGATGGCAGTGAGTGGTAAGATAAGGTGGTCTTGGCTCTTCGCTAGTGCTCGGATCTCTTGGGCTTTTAACTCTGTATTTGGCTCTGTGTTTCTTATTTAATAAAACCGTTTAGAATTTCTTCTACACCAGGAGACTTCACCAGTTTCCTGGTTTTACAGATGTCAAGGCAATGTCGCAGGTCAGGAAATGTGATTTCAGAGCAAAAACTACAATTATCCCAACGGCCGATACAAATTCCTCCCTTCTGAGTCTAACATAGAAGTGTTCCATCTCTGGAAGAGGCCCCCGTCTCCTCTCGGAGGTGGGAGGAGGCACGTGACACCCTGGCGTTAGGTGTGCATCTGTTCCTTTTCTCATTGCTGTGATAAAATAACTTAGGGAGAAGGATGGGTGATGGCTGGGGTTCCCAACAGTCAGAGTGGGGAAAGCTGTGTGGAGGACCTTGGTCTATGGCAGCTTCTTGCTCACACGGTGGCAGGCTGGGGGACAGAGAATACAGATCACAACCCAAAACAGGTATAACTTTCAAAGGTTCAGTTCTGAAGACCTGCTTCCACCCCACCGTTTAAAGGCCAGGCTCCACTTCTTTATTTGTTTTGTTTTTGTTTGTTTGTTTTTGAGACAGGGTTTCTCTAGGTAGCCCTGGCTGTCTAGGAACTCACTCTATAGATCAGGCTGGCCTCGAACTCAGAGATCCAGCTGTTACTGCCTCCTGAGTGCTGGGACGAAAGGCGTGTGCCACCACCGCCCAGCCAGGCCCTGCTTCTCAAAGGCTCCTGAACCTTCAGAACAGCACCACGAGCCGGGGACCAGGCATCAAGACTTGGGTCTGTCGGGGACACTTGAGGTCCAAACCATAACAAAGAAGGGGTGCGTTGTTCCTTGTATAAGGGGAAGTCCCTTCTGGGGCTTGATTCCTTCCCCCCAAACCATCTGAACCTCGAAGTGTAAGGAGCGGGCCTCTGCATGCCATAGCTGATGGGCACAGCTGGGAAAGATAAAGAAAAGATGACATGTCCCCTATTCAGGTTCAAGAACATAGGGCAGCAGGTGTATTCCTTGTCACCCATACCGGAGCCCCAGGAGTGCCATCTCCCAAGGGTTCACTGTGCAGTAGCATAAGGGAGATTCATTGTGGGAAATTTTATGTGGGTCAGAGGGAGAGGCTGGCTGCAAAGACCTCCCCAGGATGTGAAAGGGGACTCCCTGATGTATGGACAGAACTATACATAGTAGCTATGAGCTCCTACTGGAGAGGGACCGGAAGTCTAGGCAAAAGGATGGTACATTCCGCTGTAGCTCCAAGACTCTATTCCAATGTCATGGTCATGAAGGTCCCAAGGTCTTCTGGGCAACAAATGATAGGAGAGCTGGGGTTTGAGGTGGTGGTTGCAATGCAAGGCTGGGTCACTGGTGTGTGGACGGAAGGCCGCAGCAAGCAAAGAGGACCATGATGAGAGAGAGCTTGGCTATTGCCTGGAGAGAGGCTGGAGGTTGGGGAGTCGCTAGCATGACCTGGACACTGAGTGGATCTAGTGACCCTCATGGCATTCTTGAGGGTTACAACTCAGGGAAGTCATTGGTAAGCGAGGCTAGGTCCAAAATCACTGAGTTATAGCACAGAAGGTGGCAATGGATATTGGCATCTACATCCACATAGGAGCCCTTGAAGGTTCCCAGACAAGAAACCAGAGCTGAGAGCCTCGATGGGCATGTCACAGGCCCCTCAGTGCATCCCGAGTTCTGCAGGAGCAGGAAGGACCCCACCCTGTACACGGAGGCTTTCATTGGCCTCTAGGCAGGAATCCGGGAGTATCCCAAACCCTCTGAGAATCAAGATTCTACGGCAGAGCTGAGATCTGGTTCTGAGAAACAATCGGTTTCACGATGGAGGGGAAGGTGGTCAAGTGACCTGTTCCCATCCGACGACGCCTGCTCTCAGAGCGTGGGGCAGAACTGGCCTGGGAGTGTCTCTACAGTGCCTGATGTTTCCAAAGAAGACGTACGATGGAGATTCCCAGAAAGGCGGCTTTTTTTTTTTTTACCCCTCAAGAAGTTTCTGGTTGGGGAGGAGAGGAGAAGGGAACAGGCAATGGTCCTGTTGCTCTATATGTTCAATTCAACCAGGCACAAGGGGTTGCTTAGAATCCTAAGGAGCTGTGCCATGCTGAGCTCTTCTGGTGGGGGTGTTTTCCATTTAGGAAAAGCTCTGAAAGGCTTGCAGTTATTTATTTACTTATTTATTTATTTATTTATTTGCTTATTTACTTATTTATTTATTTACTTATTTACTTATTTCCTCCTTCCTTCGTTTCTTTTTCCCTTTCTTTCTTTCTTTCCTTCTTTCTTCCTTTCTTCTTTCTTTCTTTCTTTCTTTCTTTCTTTCTTTCTTTCTTTCTTTCTTTCTTTCTTTCTTTCTTTCTGCCTGTCTGTCTTTTAGAGGCATTTTAAATGTTCTTTCGTGTGCAGACACACTTGCCATGGCATGAGTGTGGAGGTCAGGGGACAGGTTTCAGGAGTCAAGCCCCACCCTCCACCTTGTTGAAGCAGGGTCTCTCTTATTTCTGCCGCTCTGCAGGTTCTGGCTAGATCTCTCTCTCTCTCTCTCTCTGCCATCTGTCTCACTGTGGGAGTATTGGGACTACACGTGCATGTCACCATCTGGGCTTTTTCATGGGTCCTGAGGATCAAACTTAGATGCTTTTCCCTGCTGAAAGGCTCTCTGGGGGCAGACAGACATATTGCTCTCAGCCAAGTGCACAAACGCGTGTGGAACCCTGGTCCCTTGGGCAAGACAGAAACATCTGTATTAGTCGAGACCAGTTCTCCTACTCATGACGTCATTAAACAGAAGCCCCTGGCCCATTCTGTCACTCTGCAGACGGTTTTTTCTCAGCAGCTGGCAAGTTAGTCCAAACCCTGACTAACAGCAGCTACCACACAACATGGTGAAAGCTGTAGAAAATCTCCGCACAGCAGGCCTCCGGGTGAGCAGTGCGCTCCCTTCAAAGGCCTTGAGCAAATGCTGTGCTAGCTCTCACAGCCCTGAAGGAGCATCAGCTCTCCCCCAGGGATGCTCCACCCATGCAGCGCCTGCCATGAAGGCTGACCCTATAACTCAGACGTTGCTAAGATCATCTTGACAAAGAGCACCGGGAATGGCTGTTGTTGGGATTGGCTACCCTACAGGCTTGGACACAGGTAGCCCAGCACATAGGTCTGAGAAAGAGATAAAAGACCATGGGAGTTAGCAGTAGGTGAGGAGGGGCTTCCACATGGGTCAATGGAGGAGCTGGCTCCTGGATGGGCAGCACATACCTTAGAAGTGTGAGGCATGGGGCTGGAGAGATGGCTCAGAGGTTAAGAGCACTGACTGCTCTTCCAGAGGTCCTGAGTTCAATTCCCAGTAACCACATGGTGGCTCACAACCATCTGTAATGAGATCTGGTACCCTCTTCTGGTCATGCATGCTATATACATAATAAACAAATCTTAAAAATTTATAAAAAAAATAATAATAATGAAGAAGAAGAAGAAGAAGAAGAAGAAGAAGAAGAAGAAGAAGAAGAAGAAGAAGAAGAAGAAGAAGAAGAAGAAGAAGAAGAAGTGTGAGGCAGGATGTGGAGCCCTCCACACAATCGCCTGACGAGGACATCAGTACTCAAAGCCTTCAGCTGCTGGTCACCAGATGAATAACCAGAGGCTCAGTCACAGGGCAATTCTGAGGGCAGAGGTGGGGCCACAGATGAGGTTTCCAAACTGAGGACCAATTTTATGTTTCAACTCTTAAGCCTGTGGGGTTCTCAAGATAGACTATGGCTGGGTGTATCCATAAGGGGTTTTTAGGAGACTAGCATTCTAAATGATGGACTGTGACTGTAACAAAACACCGGAGACATGCCCTTAAAAAAGAGGAGGGGCTTATTTGGAGCCATAGTTCAGAGGTTTCAGTCAAGGTCAGTCGGCCGGCCCTGTTACTTTTGGGTTATGGTGGGGCAACACACCATGTTGGGAGCACACGGTCAGCCGGGGAATCCTGATGACCTCATTCCTGGAAACAAGAGAAAAGGAAAATACACACCTACAACTGCCTAAGATTCCCCACTAAGTTCTTTTGTTGTTGTTGTTCTTTGCTTGTGTGTGAGTGTGTGTGAGTGTGAGTGTGTGTGTGTGTGTGTGTGTGTGTGTGTGTGTGTGTGTGTGTGTGTGTTAGTGTTTCTCTAGCTAACCTGGAACTTGCTCTGTAGACCAACTGGCCTCGAACTCAGTAGTCAGCCTGCCTCTGCCTCCAAAGTGCTGGGATTAAAGGTGTGAGCCACCACCAGCTTGAGGTTCCTCCTCTTAAAAGATTCTGTCGCCTCCCAAAATTGCCAGGCTAAGGACGAACGAAGCCTCTAACACAGGGCTTCTCAACCTGTGGGTGGAAACCCCTTTGGGTGTTGAACAACCCCTTTCACAGGGGTCTCCTAAGACCATCCTGCATATCAGATATTTACATTACGGTTCATAATAGTTGCAAAACTTACAGTTATGAAGTAGCAATGAAAATAATTTTATAGTTGCGGGCTCACCACAACATGAGGAACTGTATGAAAGGGTCACAGCGGGAGGAAGGTGGAGAACCACTGCTCGAGCACACGGGCTTTGGAAGCAGGGAAGAGCAGCGCTGAAAATCAGGAAAGTTGATTGCACTCCCCAGCGTGATCCCATCGTCGTGGAGGACCTGAACAGAGCAGACGGCGGCGTGATGGAAGAAGTCACCCGTTCCTATACATCCCTGCTTCAGCTGATGCATCCTCCTCCTCTCCTCCATGGGCTCCCGTGGTGCACAAGCCTTGGGACTTGAACTGAATGACACCGCCAGTTTTCCTGGTCTCCAGCGGGATGCAGTCACGGGTGAGACTTTTTTTCCATCCTCCGTCCTTGCATGTGCAGACTCCCCCAGGGGCTCAGCAGATATCCTAGCCATTCTGTCGCTCGGAGAACCCATTCATCTCTGTCCCTCCAAATGCAGCTTGACTCTTACCTCCTGTTTATAAACCCGCTCTCTTAATGGGAGGTGAGGCGCATGCTCAATGCGAAGGTGAGGCGCATGCTCAGTGTGACAGGGAAGGGAAGCCACAGCCCGCCGATGGCCTCTACCACAAGAGAGGAAAATCTGGGAAAGACGGGTCAGATCTTTATCCCTGTGGACCACCGTGCTTGTCCTCCTGTTACTTTGGGGCTACATTATATCCCTTTTTACAGTGAGTTATTCTGAGTAGCCCTTCTCACCTCCTGAAATAAAAGTTCACAGCAATGTCATCAGACCTCCCAGAGAACTTAATACAATGTTCTAGCATGAATTGGAAATGAAAGGTAATTTCCAATGAAATAGTCCTTCTATTTTGTGAATAAGACTCCACTCACCATGGGCCTGGTAAAGACAGGTGTGCCTGTTTATTCTACGTCAGGAGAGATATAAAAGAAAAGGCTCTCTGTCTACATGCAAATTAAGATTTTAAAATACAAGCCGGGCAGTGGTGGCGCATGCCTTTAATCCCAGCACTCGGGAGGCAGAGCCAGGCGGATCTCTGTGAGTTCGAGGCCAGCCTGGGCTACAGAGCAACATCCAGGACAGGTTCCAAGCTACACAGAGAAACCCTGTCTCAAAAAAAAAAAAAAAAAAAAAAAAAAAAAAAAAAAAAAAAAAAAAAAAAAAGAAAGAAAGAAAGATTTTAAAATACAGGTTAAATATCACCAAGGGAAAATGATTTTCCAAAATGATGAACAACCAATATAACTCCAAAGAGACAAAACCTGCTTCTTCCAGCATGCCCTGGCGGTCCCGGAACCCTGAAGGCGGAGGACGTCCATGCAGACAGACTCCAGTAGCAGATGTAGGCAGTGATGACTGTTGACGGGATTGACACCCTAGCGGTGTCGGGCGGCGCCTTTGGACACCGTGGGAGGGGCGCAACAAGTCAGCCAGACCGGCCTCACCGACACCAGGCGGAACGCCCACGTGGCCATCTCCGTCCCTGGGCTCGTGGGCGGAAAGGACCTGGTCCTGCAGCTTTGCGGGCAGAGGGAGGCGTCACGGTCACCGCGGAAAGCCGTTCTTCCAATGGGCCACAAGGGGGCGTGCCGAGACCAGGATCCTAACATCTGCAGGGTCACGGCCAGATGTGTCCTCAGAAGCGAGCGAAGTAATTCACGGTGGGACTTGCACTGTGCTGGGTTGGCCGGCATTTGTCGGCCTACCATCCCTACCCACGCCCGCTTCTCTAAAAGTACAGCCGTGTCCCATCACACAGGGAACACATTCTGATAATGCTAAGAGGTTCTGTGGTGGGTATCAGCTTCACTGATACCACAGTAGGTCGCCACTCCACGTAGCCTCATGCAATTCCCAGAGTGGGCAACGTGAGATGTATTTGGACGCCAAAGTCTAACAGCAAGCTGATGTACAGTAAAAAAAAAAAAAAAAAAAAAATGTTTTAAGAGTCCCGCGGATGGCATTCTGGGCCTCACACATACTAGACAGGCAGGCTGCGTCTCTAGCTTCAGTAAATGTTTCTCATACATGCAGGAATGCACTCTGAAACAATGATAGTGCAGTACAGTAAATACGTCAGCCAGTAGATTCGTCATTCATTGTCCTTGTCGGGTACAGCATGCTGTCTATAATTGTGTATGCTATACTTTTATGACTGCTAACAGAGTAGGTTTGTTTACAGTAGAGCCCCACAAATAGATGAGTAACGTCCTCTGATGTGTGAACAGTTACCATGTCACTAGAAGATAAGAAATTGTCAGCTGCTATTATCTTATGAGACAGCCTATGTCCGTGGTCCATCACCGACCAAAACATCATGTCAAAAGACTGAATGATGATAATGATAATAATAATAATAATAATAATAATAATAATAATAATAATAGAATCATTCTTCAAAAACCTGTCTTCCACCACTGTCTTGGTGCTCTGTGAAGCGTTGAACAGTTGGTTAGGAGTCTGGGGCGCAGAATTTAGCAATCTGCCCAGAGTTCCATGGCTGGCAGGTAGCAGGAAATCACCGACCTGCTGTGTTGAAAGCCCCCTGGAAAGGAAGGAGTCCTGTGTGCCAGAAGGAGGCGCTCTACAATGGCAAGGGGGGAAAAGAATATACGAGGTGTGTTTTTCTATAGTGTTTGTGGCTCGATTAATTCGAACATATTCATTCAAACATGTTATAGTGGGTAGGTCCGATGAGACCAACATTCACACCACAACCCTGGCTTAGGATACAAGTGGTACTGTTGGGCACACATCTGGGTGGTACCTATGCAAGCTGAGCCTTGTTTTCAACCCTGGCAGTGGGTTAGAATTATGAATGAATGCTCTATCTATCTATCTATCTATCTATCTATCTATCTATCTATATGTCTATCTAGGCTGACATCAAATTCCCTGCCACCCCCCCCCAATATAACTTTAGTCAGAATCTCAGAAGATGAAGGCTCAGACACCTTGGCTTGCTTTTTTACTGGTCTTTTGTTATTTTATTTATTTAATTTTGAGATGGGTTCTACCTATATCACCCAAGTGAGACTTTAATTCCTGGACCCAGGTGATCCTCCTGCCTCGGCCCCCTAAGTAGTTAGGGCTATTGGTATACATCACCATATCCAGAAAAATGCCACCAAACTACAGCACCAGTCCCTGATGTTTGTCTGTTTCTAAAGATCCCTGGATGTTTCTGGGGTTCAGTCATGCTCCTTGTTGCACAGATGCAGAAACAGACCTAGCCAGAGGGGATTATGATCAATCCACTTGAGTCTATTAAACGGGTAACAGAATTTATTAAGATATAAATTGAAGAAATACACTCACAATTACAGAACAGAGTAGAGAGCAGAAGTCATCCTCTGATCTGACCAGAGCGAATCCACCTCGCAGGCAGGAGCAGCGAGAAGGGTCATGTGACCCTTCTCCAACTCCTTATCAGAGGTCACATACAAGGGCGGGAAGCACTGCCTCCTTTGGGCCGTATAGCCCAAGGTCATGGGTGGAGCAAATACCACCACAAGAGGACATAATTTACTAAATGTCAAATGTTCTGGAAGCAGAGGACAGATACACTGATTTGTAGCTTAGAATAAAAACAAACAAACAAACAAAAACCCTCTCAACTCTTGGTGTCTGTGGACATGACTCAGTGGTTAAAAACAAGCAGCATGTACTGCTCTTCCAGAAAACCTGGGTTCTGTTCCTAGGACCCATGCCAAGGGACTCACAACTGCCTGAAACTTGAGTTCCAGGATCTGACCTTCTTTTTCTGTCCTCCAAGGGCACCTGAATGCACATTCCCATACTCCTACACAGATATGCCTACATATACATAATTAAAACTAACATAAATCTTTCAGGAAAAAAAAATCTCAGCTGTTGGATCAGGCTGGATCACCCCACAAGGGGACATGACGTGAGGACCCCCTGGGTACCAAGTAGCACACTGGAAGCCACACAGCTTACCTTGATGTAAGCTGGTTGTTGACCAGTGTTCTTCCCCCAGCAGTATCATTTGGCTCAAGATCTTACTACATTCTAATGTAATCCAGAGTTATGCTTTTAAATTTTTTTAAAAAAAAGTTGTATTATTACTCTGTGCATGCGTGTACGCTCACACGTGTGAATACAGATGTGTGCGGGTATGCACCTACTACCGCATGTTTGTGAAAGTCAGTGGACAACTCCTGGGAGCCAGTTTTCGCCTTCTGCCATGTGATCTGGGATCAAATCCAGGTCATCAGTTTTACTAAAAAAAAATGCTTCTATGTGCTGAGCCGACCATCCCAGCAGCCCAAGAGTTACGCTTTTAAAAAGTCATTGAGAGACATGTTAGCTGTCTTTGTCCCTTCTCTCTGTAGTGAAGGAATGACTTCTTGGGTCATGCCCGGAACGCAGGTGTTCTGTGAATGGGCGGTCCTAAAGCTCCTCCAATGTTGAGCTGTTGAAGTCTCTCCAGTGGTGGACTTCCCACCTGATGGAGTCGGCAGTCCAGCATAGCACAGCCTCCTCAGCCTTTCTAGGCCAAGCTGTCCACCCTTGCAAGATGTGGTCCGGATTAATCTTCAACCAAATGACGTTGGAACCAAGTGGATCTGGGACTCTGTTGCTTTGGTGAATCTGCTAGTCAGCAGATTCCTATCATTTTCAAATTAATCCATTTGAGCTTCAAGATGGAGGGGAAGCTTTGCTCCACATGGCCCCTCCGTTTGCCTGACCTGCCTCTGCCCTTGTTCACATCCTCACTGTCTTCAGAAGAGAGCAGGCTTTTCCTCTGCATCTCCTGCCACACCCACCCACTTGGCCCCTCCCCAAGCGGAGGGGCTACATTCACCAGCAGCACTGCAGGTCCCCGTCCCTGTTGTGAGCATTCACCGGAGAAGACTACTCAGACGTGGGTTTAAAGCCAATAAAAAGTCTTTATTAGCCAGCACGCAACTACACTGTGTGTTTGGGATCCCAGTGTAGCTCCGAACCTTTCTCAGCGTGAGCTTTGAAGCACAAAAACCATGTTCTGGGTTGACATGCTTCCACTAACAAGAACAGTTAGCCAGAAGCAGAACTGCAGAAGCCAAAAAGCAAGGTTAGTACATTTAAGAGACTCTAATAGAATCGTGGACTTTGATGGGTTAGGCCTTTGTTTTCATTTTGGCTGGAGGTGCTGTCTTTGTGTTGAGTGTTATAGTCTGAATGGCACTTCCATCATGGAGTCAGTTGTGCTAAGGTCTGGGGCCCTGTTACCCCACTGCATTTGAGTTGTTCGGCCTTCCAGTTTCTGCGGAAGAGATGTAAAGTAGTACCGACGATGACTTCACTTGTCATCTGTATTCTGGAGTTCATTGTTAGGACTTTCAATCCATCTGTACAGGTGCTGCCAAGTTGCTGAAATCTGGTTATATTTCCACAGCACCCCTTGCCCTGTTGGTTCTCATCTCTAGCCAGGCACCAGCTCAAACTGTTTTCCTAGTTTCTTGTTCTTGGCCAACTGCTTGAAGCACAGACAGGAGCATGTCCTGCCTCTGTGTGAATTGCCTGCAGAATCCTTAACAAACACAGATGCGGGATATTCCTTTACACTGTGTGAATATATGTCGCTGTGATTGGTTAAACAAGGAAGCTGACTGGCCAATAGCTGAACAGGACAAGGTTAGGTGGGCAGAGCCAAACTGAGGATGCTGGGAGGAAGGAGGGCCCAGTCTGGAGTTTTGGGCAGATGCAGAGAGAAGCAAGATGGGCATGCTGTATTGAGAAAAGGTACCAAGCCACATGGCAAAGCATAGATAAGAAATATGGGTTAATTGAAAAGTATAAGAGTTAGCTAGTAACAAGCCTGAGCTATTGGCCAAACATTTATAATTAATATAAACCTCAGTGTGTTTATTTGGGAGCTGCTGGTGGGATAAAAACTCTGCCTACAAATGGCATCCAATGTGAGGAGCATACGTCCATATAAAGCCTGAGGAAGCTTTAAAAAAAAGTTCTCGACACACAGAAACAGAGCCAAGAGTAGCTTCCTAGTCTCGTGTCTCCCGTGCTGGCTGTGGTACGGGAACTTGTCTCCTGGCCACTGCCTGCAGGCTTTAGCTGCCAGT